TTAAATGTCTTTTGGTCCAGTGAAGTAGCTAGGATGTGGACATGAAAATGGACATGGTGTAAAAATATCAAGATGAACACTGAAGATCAGTTCAACCTGGTGTGGTGGCACAAACCTGTAGTCCCAGTTACTCAGGAGGCTGGGGCGGGGCCATCCCAAGTTTAGGGCCAGCTTGGGCAACTGTCCAAAACCCAGTCCAAATGGAAGAAAGGGAAATGGCTATTAGTGCAGTTTACGTGCTTTATGTTTCACACCTCAACTTTTAAGAAGGGCACGGACCACAATAAAAGGCAGTATACCATGCCACTCGACCCCATAAATACCAGGAGAAAGGGATCCTTGTGTCTATAGCAATTAGAATTGGCATCTCAGAGCAGGTAATCTCAGGTTTCTGGGGAAAAGTCGGTCTCGAGGGTGAGAAGCCTGGATCGCAGGTGTGCAGTTGCCTACGGGAAGTGGAGGACATGGACTCCTGGGAACAGCGGCCCAGGTGGCGAGGGGAGCACAGTGCCGCTTGCTGTTCCCAGGGCCCTTGGCCCTCAGGAGACAGCCGCACACCAGGCATAGCGGTGCGCAGAGGCCCCGTGCTATGGGGCTGGGCTGGCCCTGGGGCAGCACTGAGGAACTTTGCTACCATGTGGCTGCAGCTTTCCCCGGGGTATCTTAATACCCTGTCAGGAAGAATCCTGAGCTAAACGTCAGGAACACAGAATGGCTTTTGACTTTGCCTTGATAGTTTCAACTTACTATATTTTTTCACAAAACAATTTAAAGTGCAATTTAATTGCACTTAGTTGGTGCTTTTTCTCAGATCCAGTATTCTAATGATAAAAGCAGTGGTGGAGCCATGTTTGTCTTTTCCTGACTGTCCCTGTCCTGATTCATGTCCTGTAGCCACAAGAATTCTGTGACTCTGCGTTGTTTCAGTGAGAAAGCAGACCACAGATGGGATATAAACAGTGACGATTTGGTGTTGTTACTTTATTTTTGTGGGGCTTTTTGGGAGTGTTTGTGTGTTGTTGTTGTTGTTGTTGTTTGCGCTTTGCCAACATCAGAGGGATCTAACTGATGAGATAAAAACATTTCTGCAAATGAGAATCTCCTCAGTGTAGCCAGAAACAATGGGGGAAATTACTCTGCTTCCCTCTAGTGTGCATGCTCCAGCAACTGTCCCCAGGTCTGACTGCTGTCATTATGCACATGTGGGTCGTTCCCAGTGAGTGTTCACAAGGGGCCTTCCTAGATTTCCCTCAATGTTCTACTTAGCTCGCCATGGCCTACGAGAGAGATAGTTGCAGCCCTTTCAGCTGCAGTCACGCTAGAATTCCCTGTGTGATTCCAAGCCCTTGTGAAACCCATCTTTGTGGATGCAGTCTTCGAGGAAGTGTTTTTTGTTTTGTTTTTCAGTACGAGGCATGGAACTCAGGACCTTGTGCTTGCCAGGCAGGCGGGGCACCACTGAGCTAAGTCCCCGGCCCTTGAGGAAGTAGAAGTACAGCTTGCTCAGGCGTCGCCCAGCACCGGGGCTAGAAGGAACTTTGGAAACCCACCTAGAGGCGAGGGTGGGAAGAGGCCACTTCTCCCCCTGTGCCCTGTGGCCGGCATCTCGGATCCACCCCGAGGCTCCCACTGCTTCCTTTGGAAGGCAGCCTCTAATCACACCCTCGAGAGCCGCAGGGCGCTTCTCATGACCCGCAGTTCACTGGCTCCGCTTAGCTGCTTCTTAGCCTGTGCATGCATCCGTCCACCCAGTGAGCCTCCTGTTCAAGTTGGCTGCTTCCTAAACTCTAACTAGAGCCACGGGCTCCAGATTTCATCTTCAGTTCCTTGCAGCCACTCCTGCCCAGAGCTGATCAGGTTCTGTGTCCACATAGCTGAGCACTGAGGGGCCCCGCCAGGGGACAGTGAGTCTGAGTCAGGTCATCGGGAGCATGCAGCA